AGGCGCTAGTGCTAAAGGACCTGGCTGCCAATGCAGGAGACATAAGAGACACGGGTTCGATTCCTGGGTGGAGAAGATCCCCTGCAGGAGGGCATGGCAACCCACCCCAGTATTCTTGCCTGGAGAATCCCTATGGTCAGAGGAGCCTGGTGGGCTGCAGTTCATGGGGTGTCAAGGAGTCAGACACAACTCAAGTAACTTAGCACAAATATACATAACTGAGGGCTTACCGTCAGTTCAAACAAATGGACATAGCATAATATATATTCCTTCACCTTGCAACAGAGGGTCAAATGTGTTTGTTTTGTGTTGAGGTTCAGTCACTAAGTTGTGTCCGACTCTTTGCAACCCCAAGGACTGCAGCATGCCAGGCTCATCTGTCCTTCTTTATCTCCTGGAGTTTGCTCAAACTTATGTCCATTGAGCCAGTGATGCCATGCAACCATCTCATCCTCTCTCATCCCCTCCTCCCACCTTCAATCTTTCCCATCATTGGGGTCTTTTCCAAAGAGCCAGCTCTTCACATCAAGTGGCCAAAATATTGGCGCTTCAGCTTCAGTCCTTCCAAAGAATATTCAGTGTTGATCTCCTTTAGGATTGACTGGTTGGATCTCCTTGCTGTCCAAAGGACTCTCAAGAATCTTCTCCAACACCACAGTTCAAAAGCATCAATTCTCCTTACATATAAGATATGTGTGCATTTGATGTGTCTACTAGCCACACAGACAATAGAGCTGTCAAACATCCCACGCATGGGGACAAAGGAGTTTGTGTCTCTGCTCTGAAGCCATTGACTTATCTCCAGGCTAAAGCGTGTTCTAACTTGCAAATCTGTGTCTGTGTCTGGTCAGAGCAGGTCCTCTATGGCTGGCCTCCCGTGGGGGACCTTATGTCTGTAGTTCCTCAGTCACTCAGTCATGTCTGACTCTTTGCAACCCCATGGACTGTAGCCTGCCAGGCTCCTCTATCCATGGGATTCTCCAGGCAAGAATACTGGAGCGGGATGCCATCTCTTTCTCCAGGGGATATTCCAGACCCAGGGATCTAACCCGCATCTCTTGCATTCCTGCACTGCAAGCAGATTCTTCACCACTGTGGCTACCTGGGAAGCCCTGTGGTTTCTTGTGCTCCTCTGAAAGGTGCATTGTTGTTGTAAGGACAGCATGTCCCCGTGGCGGAAGGGAACAGTAAACAGGGTAAGCGGGAACAGAGTGTGTGCTCAAGTTAGACACGTGTTTAACTTTCCATTCCAGTCCTGTCCTCCTAGCTTTGAGTTTCTGGGCCCAGGGAAGCTAATTGCACAAGCTTGCCTTCCCGCTTTGACCAGACTGTTCCGTGTCCTTGCGTTTCTGCCAGTGCTGAGCCTGCTGCCAGAAATGCCCCTTCCCTTTTTACTGCCCCCACGCACGCCCCCTCCATAACCACCTAAAGTTCCTTGCTGTTCCATATCCTGACCCGGTATACCCATCATGGGTGGGGTGGGGGGTGGCGCAGTGCGGGGACTCAGGCTGACCCAAAAGACCTGGTGAGTTGGAATCTGCTTTGTGACATTATCTGCAAGTCACTTCAGTCGTGTCTGACTCTTTGCCACCCTACAGACCCTAGCCCACCAGGTTCCTCTGTCCATGGAACTCTCTAGGCAAGAATACTGGACTGGGTTGCCATGCCCTTCTCCAGGGGATCTTCCCAACCCAGGAACTGAACCTGCATCTCGTGTTATCTCCTGCATTGCAGGCAGGTTGTTTACCCACTGAGCCAGCTGGGAAGCCCCTATGTGTCCCTAAATGTGTGAAAAGTGCTGGAAGTAATCCCTGCTTATCCTTCAGTCATCAGCTCAGGGCCACTTCCTCCAGAGAGCCCTCCCAGATCTCCCACACCACCCCCCAACCTGCTAGAGAGCCTGGTGTGGCACCAACAATGAGCATCCCGCTATCTTCATGAGCCACTTCCACGCCCCGAGGCTGTCTCTTCCACGGCCGTGCTCTGCGGGAGTAAACCTAGCCTTCACGTTGGTCCCCCCACAAGCAGCCTCCTGACAGCTCACCTAAGGTCAGAAGTGCGTCACACTGGGCAATCCTCTGCCTACGCTCCAGCCCCTCCTGTTCCTGCCCTTGGAGCCCCTGTTGTGGGAGCACCTCGGAAGGGAGACCACCTGGCCCTGAGTACACTCAGGCATGGCCGAAACCACGTGGAGTGCCCAGGGGCCTGCCTACGGCACACTCCAGTGCTCAGAGAAACAGGATTTCACAGGGTGTAACACGGCGATACTTGGCTGAATTTGCTCAGGTTTTCTCCGAAGAGTTTTTTTAAGAGTTACTTGAAGCAGAGCCAAGATATACAGAGGGATTAGAAAAGCTCTGTGTTGTTTCTTATTCCTCTTAACTGACTGCCTGCCGGCAGGTGCCCAAACACAATCCCATCTTTCCTCCTCCACCTCTGTCTCAACCACCCCAGAGCCAGCCCACCACGCTCCGTGAGGACCCCCATAAGGCCTCTCTCCCAGATCTGTCCACTCCCACGTCCCACCGTCTGCCCTCTCCACGGCTGCCGAGATCTGCATGGAGCTCACGCCTCACTGTGTCCCCAGCCTGCACCCTCTCCCCCAGGCCCGCCCCCTCCCCTGGGGTCGGCACTCTGTGCAGTGGGTCTGCTCTCTGCCCGCTTCACCTCTGCCCTGTCACCGTTGCCCCACGTCCACGCCCAGGAACCCAGTTCCCAGGCCTTCATAACTCCGCTTCTCTGCCTGGAGCATTCTGTTCCTTGACTTCCCAGGTTAACTTGACTTCTTGAGAGCAGCATGGATGTCAGCTTGCTGGCGTCACCCTGGTTACCCACCACCCTATCTGATTATCTGCTGAGCAAATATCACCATCCTTTGTCTCTGCCTCTTTAGGAGCAAAACTCTCCTTTCACTCCAGTGGAAACTATGGGGCTCGAAAGCCAAGGCTCATTTTTTTTTTTTTTTTCATCTCTGCATCCCAAATGCCTGAACAAAGATAAAGATCATAGAAACTCCACAGATATTGACAAAATAAAAGGGTGCGGATGAGCAAAGCAAACAAACTTTTGTCCAAATAAGAGGCACTCTGTGCTCCAGGGAATCTGGTGGGACAGGTCTTTAGATAGTTGGATGTTTTTAGGAACAGATTTTATGATCTCAATCCTTGCATCTCCTCATAGCTAGAGAACCACTAAATCCCTTCCTGGTGACATCAGATCCTCATGACTAACAAAAAGCCTTTTGTAAAACAAGTGCTTCATGGTGCCCCCTTCTCCAAAACCTTATATATTGACTTTCTCCCACTGCTGCTTTGGGGCAGTCTCTCAGAGCTATCTGAGATGCTGCCTCCCGAGTTGTAGACCTCCTTTTGCCCCACATAAAACTTAACCCACAACTCTCAAAAAAAAAAAAAGTCAAATGTGCTAGTAGTCCTCCAAATTCTAGCAGGCCCTTTTCTGGGCTGTGTTATATTCCCCAGGGCTGCCTGCTGCCTGCACTACCAGGGCCCCCTGGGTGGCGCCTTTGGCCTCTGCGGTAAATGGAAGAACAGGGCAGAAGGTGCTGGAAGTAATTTCTGGCCCCATGACAGCCCTGCACGGAACTCGGATGACCCCACTGGCCCCTCTTCCCTCCAGGCCCGGGGGCGGGAACAGCCTCCCTGTGGTCGGAACTGGGGGCCCCATCCTTGGCCCTTCCCCCATCCCTGCCGCAGCCCAGGTAATCGCCTTCATTCCAGTCCCTCCACCTGCTCCATTTGGATGAAGTGATATTGCTGCTAAGTCACTTCAGTCGTGTCCGACTCTGTGCGACCCCATAGACGGCAGCCCACCAGGCTCCGCCGTCCCTGGGATTCTCCAGGCAAGAACACTGGAGTGGGTTGCCATTTCCTTCTCCAATGCATGAAAGTGAAAACTGAAAGTGAAGTTGCTCAGGTGTGTCCGACTCGCGCTAGTCAGAACCTTGCTGGAGCATCGGGTAATCTCATTTCTGTGCATAAGATTTAGGAATATTTTCTCTATACACAAATTACATCAACACACATTTTCTTTTCACTATTTATTTTAAAACATTTAATATTTTTGAAACTCTATTTTTACATTTTCACTTATTCACAAAACAACTAAATAGGCCCAGTATCTATCTGTACCGTGCATGTGTATGTGTATTTGCCCTGAAGAGAAAGCTTTTTAATTTTGACTTCATAAACCTTGGGAATGTTGAAGAACAAACACTATCTTGAACAAAATAATAAAAGCTAAGAAAAAGTTATTACATAGAAAGACATTGTTACAAAATCTTAAGTCTTCCAATCTGTATATCTAGGATCCATCTTAAGAATTTATTACTAAACTATGAATATAGGAAGGCGCACACTGACAAATATGTAGTTTGAATGTGGTGTTAAGTTTTTTTTTAAACCAGCTGAAGTTTGCTAAGGCAAAAATTAAGTTACCTCTTCAGATTTTTAAAAATAGCCATAGTATACAGAAATGATCTGTATTGTGCTAACTTTTCCATCCACATAAAACTTAAAGGATGTTTGGCATCATAGTGGGCCTTTAATGTAAACCAAAATAAAATACTTATATACTACTGAAAGGTCCAGTGGAGATATTACGTATTCATGAGAATTATATTACTGACTGTATATTTAAATAATACTACCATAAACTTATAATGCTATACTAATAAGAGTAATTGTGGCATCAATTGAATAATAGTAACTTAACTAAAAAAAAGCACAGATCAAAATTACTTGAACAGAAATACATGTAAATGAAAAATTGAAAAAAATCTTACAAACTATAATGTTTTATCTACTTGAAAAAAGCAAGTTACAGTAGCTAGAAATAAAGAGAAAAACAAATTACTTTAAAAAGGGAAAACACACGCTGATGTTGAGTCCTGGTCGTGAGTGTCCGGCCGGGCTGGGCTGAGCTGACCACGGCTGCAGGGGACCGCGGGTCCCTGGGTCCTCACGGCGGGACCCTCCTCCTCCCTAGCGGGTCATGTGACCCAGGGGCTCCCCCGACCCCTCCGGGCCCCGGTGGGCTGCGGGTGGAGCAGCAGGAGCAAGAAGGCCCCGCGGGGCGAGCTGGGAGTTGTGCTCGACCTGGGCCAGCACCTGCCGGAGGCGGGCGTTCTCTCGGGCCAGCGCGCTGAGCTCTCCCTCCAGCCGCACGGCCGCCTCCCAGCTTTCCTGGGCTCTTTCCTCGCGGACACGCACCTCCTGCTGATGGAAGGCAGCGGTCCTCTCCAGCTCTTCGCGCACGTCTCCAGCTATCTTCTTGGAGAGGTTGCGGATCTGACACTCGGAGTTCAGCTCTCTACACACGCGGAAGAGCTGCTTCTTGGATTCCACGCAGCGGGCTTCCTGCGCGAACAGCCTTCTGTGAAGCTCCATCACGCAGCGGTCATGCAGATCAGGCAGGCCTTGGAGCTTCCGCCTCAGCAGCTGGATCTCGCAGTCGAGCCATGAATTTGCACACCGCAGGGACGCCTCCTCAATGTGGAAGCTTGTGGTTCCTCCTGGAAGCTCTTCCCTCCCTCGCTGATCTCCCCTCGGGCGTCCGGCCGTCGCTTGCTGCTCCCCTTCGGGTCGTGGCAGGGACACCGCGCCGTCAGCACCGTCATTGACGCCCTGCGGGTCAGCCTCCGGCCCCTGGACAGGGGTGTGGCCGTTTTCTGCTTCCTTCTTTTGCGGGACGTCTGGGTCCCCGTCACCCCGGCGGTCTCCGAGGAGCTCAGGGGAGGGGAGGATGGTCAGCAGGTGTTCGGCTGTGGATCTGAGTCGGCTGACCCTGTCTTCCAGGACCCGCTCCTCGCGGGCCTCGGGCGGCTCCGGGCCTCCTCCCGGCCCCTCCTTTTCCCGGACTCGCTGCTCTTCTGTCTCGATTTCTCGGTCAGACGGTTCTGGACTTTCTGGAGAATCAACATTGTTGTTCAAATCACTCATTTCTTTCTTCTGAGGTTGTTCTCCATCGTCCTCTGATGCTTTTAAGGTGTGTTTTCCATCAGTAACTTGGGAAAGTGGAGAAGACTGGCCGTGCCACACATTCTCCAGGAAGTCCGCCAAGTCCTGAAACAATGACCCGCTCAGGTCTGCGTTCATCGCCGACAAGCACAAGGTCTGTAAGGCGGGAGGGCTGGCCTCCACCCGAGGCGGCTTGAGGTCTCCGTCAGCCTGAGTCCGTGGTCCAACATCCTCACTACACTTCCCGTAGACTTCCTCACAGGCAGAAGACCTTTGCCCTCGCAGCTTCACACTTCTTAAACCGTGCCATCTCTTTACGGTGAGAACCAGCACCAAGGCACATACCAGGATCTCCCAGGGAAACTCAGGGAGACCCGAGACGTGTGTCCAGCTCTCAGAAACCACCAGCAGAGTGCCCCACAGATGCTCCAGCATCAGCTGGCAGGCGGGCCCCAGGGCAGGCAGCAGGCTCTCCATGTCTGCGAGGGCGCGGCTGCTCTGCCTCTGAGATCCAGGGGCCTCAACTGACCACTCAGAACCCTGCGAAGTGTTCCGTCTCCAAGGTAAACAGGTGCCTGACAACCAGGGCTGGTCAGTTAGGCAGGGGAGTGGAGGCCAGCCAGGTTCTAGGAAACAGTTCTCCCCGAGTGCTCTGAGATAGAGAGTGATCTAATCACCTACACAGGCCCTGGGGGAGGTGCAAACAGCTGATCTCAGCTTGGACCTGGGCCGTCTAGGTGCACCTGGCCCTACAGCGAACCTTGGGGGGCAGAGCAGGGCCAGGCTACGCCCCTTTCTGTGAACAAGCGCACATAGGGGCAGAGTGGTGGGGCCTCTTCCCTGGGTGAGGCCTGTTCTCTGGACTCAAAGTTTCCTCCTGCTTCAGAGAACGCTGGGCCTGTCCCCGAAGTCCAGGGGCCTGCCCTTCTCCGAGGCTCTTTTTCTCCTGTGTGTGGTCACCACTCAGGCACAACCCAGGACTGGAGGGTATTTCCACCAGGTGTTAGCTGGGGGACTAGCACCCCAGCACCAACTGCTCAGGAGAAATCAACTCGAATTTCAGGGTCTTACAGTCACATAGGTTCTGTGGAGCCAGGATGCTCTTATTGCATCCCTGGTACAAGGGGACTCTGCTCCCAAGTGGTGTAGTGACCTGGACTGATTTCCTAGTGTGGTCCTGCCATTTGCAGCCCATGCTTCCCAAGGAGGCCCCAAGTGGATCTGTAACCCACGGAGTCCTCTTAGAAGTGGCCTAGGGAAGGGTGTAGTGGCTCCGTTTGCCCTCTTTGAATCCCATTAAACCACGTCTATCTCTCCTAGAATCTCTCTGGCAGGCCCAAGCTCAGAGCCTCCTAGTCAGGCTCTTGGACTCTGCTTAGCGTCTCATCCTCAGTTCCTTTACTGGACAGGGAAGCAAGGCAACTGGCATCTGAGACCCTTGCAAAGGTCCTGACGGTTCCAGGGCGCAAGAGCCCCCTGGTGCATTGAGTGGGGTGTGGGCAGCAACCCCCCCTGAGGGAAGTCAGACCCTTTTTAGGACAGCGAGAACCAAGCCTGCAAGTTCATATGGGCAATCTTGAAAAAGGATCAAATGTGGGCTGAAGAAATGACAGTGATCTCTGGAGTCCCCAGCTAGCCCTAAAATGTATGAAATGGAGTTAAAACTATCGGCCCATAGAGAGGTCCAGGACACTTTATTGACTGAAGCATCTGACTCACTGGAAAAGACCCTGAAGCTAGGAAAGATCGAGGGCAGGAGGAGAAGGGGGCAACAGGGGATGAGATGGTTGGATGGCATCACTGACTCAATGGACGTGAGTTTGAGCAAACTCCAGGAGATGGTGAAGCACAGGGAAGCCTGGCATGCTGCAGTCCATGGGGTCACAGAGAGTCAGACACGACTGAGCTACTGACCAACAAAAAGGCAGAAAAAAGACAGTGGAGATAGAGTATTCCAGAAAAGGTTCTGGGTTGGTTGTATTTTTCCAGCCCCTTCTGTGGGGTGGCATTTAAAGAAGCAGGAGGAGTATTTCCCCTCCCCTCCCATCCCCCAGACCTTCCCACCTCTTTCCTCCCCTCCCCTCTTTGCTCTTTTATCCTCTCTTTACCCCTCTTGCCTTTCCTGTTTTTCTATCCTCTTATTTCCTCCCTCTTTTGTGCTTTAAAAAAACCGTATTTTTAAAAGTTCTAAATTGTTCATATAAATAGATATGATTTGTAACTCTGAACTGACACCTTCCATGTGTCCAGGTTGGGACTGGTCACCCAGGCCCTGCACAGCCTCCTGAGGCCTGCCCCACTGTCTCCAGGAGGTGAGCTGCTCCTTCCTGCATCCTCTGCTCCCGATGCTCAGACAGAAGCATCAGGTCTCTAAGGAGCCTGGAGCTCTTTCTGGTCAGCGCTCAGAGCCCAGGCTTTGTTTCTTCCCTGAGTCTTCACTTATTCAGCTCCCAGGGTTCTCTTCCCATGCAGAGTGATGTCAACCTTTCCACTGCAGGGTCACCTTTGAGCTGCCCCACCCTGGTGTATGTGTATTTGTCTGTGTGTGTGTGTGTGTGTGTGTGTGTGCCCTCAAGGGAAAGTTTTTATTCTGACTGCCAAATATTAGAGACATTTAAACAAAACAGTATTTTAAGCAAAACAACTGTGGATGGAAAATGTCACCTGCCATATGAGTAAACAAAAAGTTGCTGCAGCCATCAAGCTGTCAGTCATTGAATCCACCTGGACTGTGCACCCTGAGGAGATTCAGGATGGAAAAAAGCCAGCTACCAGCCCTAGAAAGTTAAATTGCACATCATAGTGGTAATTTCAATGAACCCAGACCCCTGCATCTTCTCGTACAGGGAAAATCGCTAAATTTGACAGGTTCAGTTAACAGATTCAAACAGTTGTTAATTATGGAAGGAAGGGGATGGGAGACCAGGACGAATCAATCAAGAGCAGCCCTGGGGCAAGGTCCTGGTTCCCTACCAATGGACACACACAACAATATCATTGAGCTAGTTTGCAGATACTGAAACCCCCTCCAGGTGGGAGAAGTTAACAGTTAACAATGGCAGGCTGCCCACAAGCAAGTAGACCCCAGATCAGCTGAACTGAAGGTTGACAGTGGGGACTCTTACTTACCACCAATGCATCAGAACAATGTCCATGAGCTGATCACACCCTGTTTTTGTTCGGTTGCCAGGTCATGTCCAACTCTGCAACTCTATGGACCGCAGCACGCCAGGCTTCCCTGTCCTTCACTGTCTCCCAGAGTTGGCTCAAACTCCTGTCCCTTGAGTCGGTGATGCCATCCAACCGTCTCATCTTCTGTCACCCCCTTCTCCTCTTGCCCTCAATCCTCATCAGGATTTTTTTCTAATGAGTTGGCTTTTAGCATCAGGTGGCCAAACTATTGAAACTTCAGCTTCAGCATCAGCCCTTCCAATGAATATTCAGGGTTGACTTCCTTTTGGATGGACTGATTTGATCTCCTTGCAGTCCAAGGGACTCTCAAGAGTCTTCTCCAGCACCACAGTTTGAAAGCATACATTCTTCGGTGCTCAGCCTTCTTTAAGGCCCAACTGTCACATCTGCCCTCTTTTACTATAAACTTGTCACTCTCTTCTCCAAGTTGGGACACTTGGTTTGGAGGGAATTAACCCACTGTGTCCCCCTTTGCCTGGCAAAGCAATTGAACTATTCTCTTCTGCTTCACCCAAAACTATCTCTGAGATTCAATTTGGTACTGGTGTACAGAGAAGCTTTTGGCTTCAAATTCTTTAACTTGAGACATTTCTTTAATAAGCAGTTACCTTTTGATGTTCCCACTATCTGGTATTTATTGCAAAGCCCCCTCTATCCTGGCTTTTCCCTTACCCCCTCAGAGCTGTCCCTCAGGCTTAAGTTCTCAGAAAACCCACCAAATAAAACATAATTCTCAACTTTTAAGCTGTGAACTTTTTTCAGTTGACACAACAAAACTTTTTTTTAAAAGGTATTAAATAAAAAACCAACTGTTAAATATCAACTCCCTTATATTAATCAATGGATTTAGAGCCAAGCTAATAGAAGCACTTAAAAACTTGAATGTTGTATTGTTAAGGGTTTGGGGGCATCATTTTTCTAAAATCTAATAAAAATTCCTCCCTGCAAATATTAAATTATTTGTACAGATTTCTAATAACAGGACCTAGCATACAGAAAGGGTCTACATTGTTCCAAATGTCAAAATTTGGGGATGGCATAAATCATAGTGGACAATTCATTTAAGCCAAAATACAATACTTACACTAATTCTGAAAGGTCTGCTGATGGAGAGGTAATGTATTCATGAGAATTAGATTAACAATCTTATATTTTTAAAATAGTAACTTAAAATTATATACCAAATTCCAATAAGAGTAATCATGCTATCGGTTAAATTGCAGTAGCTAAACTAAAAAGAAATATGTTAAAATTACTATAAGACAGAAGCACATAGAGATGTTGTGTCCTGGTTGTGGGTGTCCAGACCTGGCTGCCGTGAGCTGAGTCAAACCTGCAGGTGACCCCGGGTTTCTGAACCCTCATGATGGGGTCCTTCTCCTGCTTCGGGGGCTTCATGACCCAGGGGCTCCCCTGGCAGCTCCAGGCCTCTGTGGGCTCCGGGTGGAGCAGTAGGAGCACAAGAGTCCTTTGGGAAAGGCTGGAAGTTGGATTCAACCTTGGCCAACATTTGCCTTTTGCGGTCCTGCTCCTTGAGCTTTCTCTCCACGGCTGCAGCCACCACTCGGCTTTCTTGAGCTCTTTTCTCATAGAAGCATGTCTCCTGGTGATGGTAGGAAGTGGTTCTTTCCAATTCTTTGCCCGTGTCTTCAGCTATCTTCTTGGAAACATTGTGAATCTGACATAGGGAGTTCATGTCTCTACACACATTGGTTTCTTCTTGATTTCTGAGCAGTAATGTAGAAGCTAATGTAGTACAAATCCTCTTGAGTAGTGATGAAAGTTTACAGGAATAATATTGGGGCAAGACAACAGCATGTGTCTTCAGATGTGATGCACTGAAAAGAATGTGATAATATTTCTTTGGTTGTCCTGCAAAAATGCAGAGCTGGAATCAAATCACAAAGAAATATCACACAAACCTGAAATGAGGAACATTCCACAAAATTACTGCACACGTGCTTCACAACAGGGCTTCCCTGGTGTCTCAGATGGTAAAGAAACCACCCGCAGTGCAGGAGACCTGGGTTTAACACCTGGGTTGGAAAGCTCCCCTGGAGAAGGGAGTGGAAACCCACTCTAGTATTCTTACCTGGAGAATCCCATGGACAGAGGAGCCTGGTGGGCTACAGTCCACGGGGTCACAAACAATCAGATCCAGTTGAGTGACTAAGCAAGCACATGCTTCAAAACAGTAAAGGTCTGTTTAGTTCTTTGGCCCATGCACCCCAATGTTCATCGCAGCACTGTTTATAATAGCCAGGACACGGAAGCAACCTAGATGC